ACTGGTGGAGGGCTGCAGTGATGGTTGACTTTCTACAACTTTCTCTCATCTCCCGACTGCATCTCTGGAGCTCAGCCACAGTGATCTTTGGGTTCTTCTTTACCTCTCTCACCAAGGCTCTTCTCCCCCGTGATTCCCCACTTTTATTTTTTCTGTTTTTGAAAGCTTGTTTTTCTTTTGAGTTAATGGGCCGTCCTGAATTCCTCCTCCTCTTGCTGGAGCAGGGGGAGTGTTCTCTCGTGGACCACACTCTTTCTGGAAGTAGCTCATCACACCAGCTACCTACCCGGACAACTGCCTCTGCGCATTCTTTAACGCTAGCCTCAACACCGCTTGCAGTGCGTGGTCGTCCGAAGATGGTCCTTGGGAGAGTTTCGCCATCTTTGTGGAGTGGGTACTGGTGAGAAACGGATCCCCGTTCACCATTGGCCTCGCTGATGAGGATCTCACCAGCCCCACTCTGGACCCAGAGCCCAGCAACTGTCAGCCCGCTGCGCAGAGCGTTTGCTATGGCCTACCACAGACGGAAAGCCAATGCCTGCCACGGCCGACGAGCCATCACCAGAGAGGGCGACAAAGCTGAGGATCACCCCTGAACCTCATGGATCGTCTGACCAGATGCGAGAGCTGGCAACAACGCACGCGACAGTGGATGTAACAGTGGAGAGTGAGGGCACGGAGGAAAGCCCCGCTCACTGTACCACTGCTGAGGGTGAACTAAGGCAAGACACTTTAATTGACTTTTATTCAGAACTACCCAGTCTTCTTCTGTCATCTGAAATCTCTGTCTGTCCTGTTACGGCCAAGGAGGCCATTTTCGAACTGTCTGTCTGCCCCTTCACGACTATGGAGGTCGTGCCCAAACTGTCTGTCAGTCCTGTCTCAACCAAGGAGGTCGTTCCCCTGTCTCTGGTGCTCCAAGTGCTGGGAGTGGCCATCCTTGAACCCCCGGACTGCTCAAAACTCCCACCCAGCCTCCCTCTCCCACCACCTCTTCATCAGTCCTCACCACCGCCTCCATCTCCGCCTCAGGTTCCTCTCCCACCTGCTCCGCCACTGTCGGTCAGCCCCCTAGAGTCATCAGCCATTCCTCCACCATAGCTCGTCCATCCATCGGCTCCACCGTGGGCCATCATGTTGGCTGCGGTCTGGGTCCCGCCTGGCTCCTCTTGCTCCAAGTCCCTCCTGTCTCCATCCTGGCTTCTCCCTCTGTCTTATCCGCCCTGGCTCCTCTTGTCTCCATCCTGGCTCCTCGCTCTGTCTGCTACTCCCTGGCTCCTCATGTCGCCATCCTGGCTCCTCCGTCCGTCTGCTCCTCCCATCGTCGCCGCCCTGGTTATCTGCCTGCCTCTCTTCCTGCCCTTTGCCACCACCTCATCCTTCTCCCAAACCCCCTCCCTCCATCCTTTGTTCATCCTTTTAAAAATTATTGTTTTACACAGAACAAAGTCATACAGGTTTGGAAGAATGAGGGTCAGTAAATGACAGTATTTTCATTTTTCCATGTTTTTTTCCTTTAATAATAATTATTCTTTAAACATCTTCTTTGAACATGTCTTTGTGGCTGTGTCTTTGGGTTCAGCTCTTGCCCTTTTCATCAGCAGATATTTGAAATCTAACTAACCCTATAAATATTTTCTTTTGTGTTCAGCACAAGAAAGAAATTAATACAGGTTTGGGACAAAATGTGAGTGAGTAAATGACAGAAATGTAATTTTTTTGGGTGAACTATCCCTTTAATGACAGTCAGCAGCATGTTTAGTAGCTACTGTCCCTTTAAGAGTTGCACACATTTCTCTCTCAACTGTTTACTTTCATTTTAGACATAACCAACTGTGTTTATATGTAAACCTTGTGTGTTTTTGACCGTATTAGACGCGAAATCAATCAGACGCGAAAGACAACTTAGTCCTATAATCAGGAGCTTTTTGACAGGCTCTCAATGTGAGCGTGCTTCATGAGTACGTGCTCAGAAAAAGTGCATGCAGAACAGCACGTGAATTAAAAACTGGTATTGCTTTAAAGCAGATGGAAATAATGTAGTTTTGTGATTGCGCATAAGTGCAGTGTCCCGTGAGAGTAACTCTACCACTGAGCTAACACTGATATGAATGCATGTGGCGTTGTACATTATATTGAGACGGAGGGAGGCGCCAGAACTGCAGCTGATAGAATGTGTGCTGTAGCACGATACAACGATATTTCTTCAAAAGCAGATCGTGGAGACATTTTAATCGTCCACGATCAAAAATCGTCATATCGCACACCCCTAACTACCAAGTATATTCAATCTCACACACACAAACAATCACAACGAAATCACTTCACACTATTAAGCGGCTGTCTTATGAACATGCAAAACTGTATCGCACGCGTGCTACAGTGGTAAATTTATTCATCGCACAGACCAGTTTTTTTGTAGCACGGACAACAAATATGTCGCACTGTACAGCCCTGTACACACACACACACACACTAAGTCCTCATGCTGGTATATTACATAATAACTGCTACCTCTACAAATTACTCTGTTCCTGCCATTTTTGAGAACTCCAGCATGAGAATTATATAAGTGTGATCATATTACATGGCTCTCTACTGTTTAATAGAGCTGAGCAGGGAAAGGCACTTCCTTTTCCAAATACCTCAGACGCACCTACTGGAAGTTGTGATTTTAGGGTTTGGATGCTGATAACAGATGTGGTTTGTGATTTTTCCTCCACCTACCCCAGAGGTCTCTGTTTAAATGTTCTGGGCGGGTCTTGGCTAAGGGTGCTACGTGCTGCAAGGCTGTAAGCTATGAACGATACAAAATGCTGTTAGATTGGTTCTCTGATACCTCCCTTCCCATTGCAGATAGATACTCCAGGTATAAGCCACCTAATAAAGGACTACAGCCCCGGGGCTTCAGCAACTGCCATAAACACCTATTTTCATAGGAACTCTCAGAAAGTCGATTGACATAAAAAAGCATTCTTGGGGACCCCTGAGGGGTGGAGAACATCTTGACCGGTTTTAACCTTGAGAGTCTTGACAGAGCTCAAGAGGAACAACCTTTAGCTTTTGAATGAGTTAAAAAATATATAATAGTTTTAAGTTGCCACTGCACTTGATCAAATCTGGACACACACAAACACTCCCATTGAAACACATTATAGCATGTATGATGTTTCTGCTGGGAAATGATGGTCATTTTGATTTTTTTTTTACTTAGTTAAATTTGAGTGATGGGGTGGAGACCAATGAGTTTATATCATATTTATATTTTTAAATGTAACTTTTATATTTATTACATATTACAAGACAGGCAGGTGGGTTTGAACAAGGTTGGAGCTAAACTCCTGCCACAGGAGTTTCCTGTCTGTCGTGCTGCAGCGTGGTCTGTGATTGTAGCTCCGCTTTTCTGTTGAATCTCTATCTTACTATCACGCTCTGTTGTTTAAAGTGATAAAATATAACTTAATTCCCACCTTATTTCTGAAATTATATATCAAACTAATCGGATTAATTTGATAATTCTCTTTTATTCTAAAACTGCGCGTGCAGCGCATTAGCATTCATTAGCCGGTTAGCTTGTCATTTGCGTTTCCATTCACGTCCGTTTAATTTTTTTCACGAGTTCATCAAACAACAGTGGTAAGTCAGAATCATTCATCAGTCACGGTGAGTAATGGCTTCTTCTCCTGCTATTGTTGTTTGCACCGCTTGCCACATGTTTAGTTTAGCTCTCTCTGTTGGCAACGAGGGATTCACATGTGATAAATGCAGGGAAATAGTTAGGCTGACAGAGAAGGTTTCAGAATTAGAGACACGCATCCAAACTTTAATTGAGGATAGTAAGAATGTGAGGGCTCTAGATACGGCTTTGGATGCGACTAGCTCAGGGAGTCCTGTACATTGTTCGGTTCCGGTTACAGCGCCTCCGCAGCAGGGCAACTGGGTGACTGAGGCGGCATAGGTCAAAACACCGCTCTTCCGTTCCGATCAAATCATCAAACAGGTTCTCCCCACTCAGTGACGCACCCACTGAGAAACCTGATCAAAGTGAAAATAGGGACACCAGCCACCATAGTCCAATGTTTACTGGAAGCCAGAGCGCCTGACAAAGTGCTGGCTAATGCTAAACGTAAATTCAGTGAGATTGTTATTCACGCCGGCGCTAATGATGTTCGACTTCGCCAGTAGGAGATCACTAAAAATAACATTAAAGAGGTGTGTGAACTTGCAAGTACGATGTCAGACACTGTAATATTCAATTCAAGTTTATTTGTATAGCGCTTTTCACGATACAAATCGTTGAAAAGCAACTTTACAGCAAATTAGGTTTCTACAATATTTAGTAGTAGCAGCTTATCAGTGGTGACTAAGTTGATGTACATATGGCAGAAATGTACTGAAAAATCAATTAAAGACGTAATCAAACAGACGATAAACACTATTAACAGCAATTATTATATGATGCAATCAAACTTATAGCAAAAGTTGGTAGTTCTGTATGTTGCTTCATGGTTGGCATCATCTCTTCTCAGGTGTTCGGAATCCAGATTGAAGCTTGTGTAAATCCTAGTTAACATGGGATGTCAATCCCGTGGCAAAAACAGAGAAACAAATAGAGACATAATTAGCGTAGCTGCTGTTCCAACCAAGTAAAATTAATTTGTTTAACCCAAGCTAAAGAAAAATAATGTGCATTTGATCAGATATAACTGCAGTACAAGATTATGAGATGCATTATTTGAATGCTTGGCCAAAGAGATGTGTCTTTAATCTAGATTTAAACAGAAAGAGTGTGTCTGAACCCCGAAAGTTATCAGGAAGGCCATTCCAGAGTTTGGGAGCCAGATGCGAAAAAGCTCTACCTCCTTTAGTGGACTTTGCTATCCTAGGTACTACCAAAAATCCAGAGTTTTGCGACCTTAGGGAGCGTGATGGATTGTAGCATTGTAGAAGACTAGTTAGGTACGCAGGAGCTAACCCATTAAGGGCCTTATAGGCAAGTAATAATATTTTGTAACTGATACGGAACTTAATAGGCAGCCAGTGCAGAGACTGTAAAATTGGGGTAATATGATCATATTTTCTTGACCTGGTAAGGACTCTAGCCGCTGCATTTTGAACTACCTGTGGCTTGTTTATTTAAGATGCAGGACAACCACCTAGCAGCGCATTACAATAGTCCTGTTTAGAGGTCATGAATGCATGAACTAGCTTTTCTGCATCAGAAACAGGTATGTTTCGTAACTTGGCAGTGTTTCTAAGATTGAAGAATGCTGTTTCTCTAACATGGGAAATATGATTTTCAAAACACAAGCATTCGGTGTACTGTTTTTTGGCTCAATAAGTAATATCTCTGTCTTATCCTAATTTAATAGGAGAAAATTATTGGTCATCCAATCTTTTACATTTTTAACACACTCACTGTTAGC